GAGCCTGATTACCAATGACTCTATTTTTAACATGAGATACGAGGCTTTCGAATTAGAGTATCTGCCAGTTATCTTTCATGAGACATATTTTACCAAGTTGCGTTGCCTACGTTTAATGTCAAATAATGGATACATAATTTTTATGACCCTTGGCTACGTTAAAAGATAACAGAAGCGAAAGGAACGATAAATTGAAACAGGCCAGGGAGGGACTGACATGCGAGGTAGCAGAAATCTAAAGGCAGTTAAACATACACGCATTATACATATATGCCTCATGAATGTGTGGATGATACGGCATGTGTACGTACGTAAGTGTATATGTTTGCAACTATTTGTACTCGTATGTATGGGTATATGTGTTTCGTTCTTGTTTGATGTGTGTTTGTGTGGTTCGTTTGTGGAACAATTTTCAATAACAGTTTCAAACCTACACGTCATAATTTCATCCATTTCACTTCGGTTGATTTTTTTCACTTTGAAGTATTTTGACGTTCCATGAGGAAAAGTAATTTTTGTTAGGTGTTTTTTAATTTTAGATTCTCTTTTGTTTTTTTGATTTCTCAATGTTTATTTTCATTATGGTTTTAAATATTTAGGTTGACAGGGGGTCTGCATATGTAATTTTCCTTAATTTTTCATTAATGGCCTTCGTCCGGCACGCGACCCGTCATTATAACACGATTCGACCCGCGGGGTCGAATGAGTTGCCGACCCCTTCATTAGCGCATGCATGAGAAAGTAGCAGTGGAAAATCTATTATTTCAGTTATTTTGATTAATATATCTATATTAAGTATATATTTCTTCTTTCTTTTATGTGCTGTGTTCCTTCAGGACATAAGCGATCATGGCTCTCCACTTCTCCTATCCTTTGTAGTTTTCAATATGTTTTGTCCTTTTGATACTTCTCCCAAACCCTGTTCTGTCATCCACTTGCTTATGCCCGCTACGTATGTCCTCTATCTGCCCTGTGAGTATCAGATTCTCCAAACCCTCGTTTCTCCTTACGTATACCAGAAGTTTCAGATGCCTCTTCCTGATGTTAAGTATAAGCTTCGTCCTTATTTGCATCCTATCCAAAACCTCTTCGTTGCGCACATGTTCGGTCCATGATATCCTTAGCATCCTTCTGTAGAACCATACTTCCATTGCCTCGAGTCTCTTCGTCATCTTCGAGGAGACCGTCTAACATTCTCTGTCGTGAAGGGGTACGCTATAATACATATTTATAGTATTTACATTAGGATCAACACTACTGGTAGTTAATAAAGTGGTTTATAACTAAAATATAATACCTTCCCTTCTACGGATAAGCGACTTTAACCGACCCCCCTCCTTCTATTCGTCCGTTGATGAGAGGTTTGTCTGTATAACTAAAATGTAATAAAAATATAATAAAGCTTAACAAATGTTCTATGCCACTTTTGTTTACAGGAGAGACGGTAACAAAGAATTAATATGATTTTCTTTACACAATTAGCAATAATTCTATTTGACTCGCAGGTATGAAATAACTTTGGTGATACAAACAAGCATCCTATCTATGGATTACCCATCAACGAATTTCGGACACAATCTCCAGTCAAAATAAAAAAAAATCTGTAAGTAAAATAAATTCAAAATCGTCAGCGATGAATTTCAAAATTTTCGGGATTAGCGGAATGAGTCATAGTAGTTTTCAAACTAACCGCTTGGCAGCAGTGGCGGGCTTTTCAATTGTAAACAAAGATGAGTGTACAGTATATAAAGTACGAAAGATTAGCGCATGCGTGAGAAAGTAGCTACGAGTAATCTATTACTTTTGTTGTTTTGATTAATACATCTATATTAAGTATCTATTTATTTATGCCTTATATACATGTTTATAGTATTTACATTATGATCACACAGAGGCATTTACTATAGTGGTTTTATAACTCAAAAATAATTCCATCCCATCTACGGACAAACAGATTTTGTCCGAGATGAAAGGTTTGTCTGTACATCTAAAATCGATAAAAAAGACTATTAGATTAGCAAAAAGCAGTTGGAATCAGTAAACATTTAGACAATTCCCACACTCGTTAATTTTAGAAAAACAATTAAAAATATAATAAAGTTTAACAAATGAACTATGTAACTTTTGTTTACAGGAAGACGGCTGTGTAATGTATTGAGTATTCAGAGAGCCGAGTTCGAATTCTAACAGAGGTCGTTGCATTCACTTACGTACTAATAAGCTTGGGAAAGGTATGAATCCACCTTTTCTCCCCACCCCAGCTATGGGAAAATAGCAAGACCGTCAACTGGTCTAGGAGAAGAAAAACTCATAATTCAAACCAACCTGAAGATGGTTGGGCTTCGTTAGGCTATCTTGCCCAAGATTCTGTCTCTGCTACTACAACTCTAATCACTGAATAAAAAAATTTATATAATTATATATATATATATATATATATAAAGAGGACACACGGTGGATTAAATGGATAGCGGCTTGGATTGAGGAATCACAATTAAAAGTTCCAGTCAATCCATTACATTCACTTACGTTCTAATACCCTTGGGAAAAAGTATAAATGCTCTTCTTCTCCCTCCAGCTATGGGTAAAATAGCAGGACAGACTGGGTTCTATAGCCTTGGATGGCAACTGATCTAGGAGAAGGACAACTCTGAATTCAAAACCTGCGGAGGGTCGTTTGGGGGCCTTGTGGCACGTAGTGAAGCAGGTCTCTGTTTCGGTCCTTCAAAAAATGTGGATGGTCCTGCACGAAACCTTCACCACTATAATCAAATCTCATGTGCTGGTGTAGGGCTGTCGGTTTCCTGGGAACTGATCTGCTTGACCCTGATACGTCGAACTCGACGGGAGAGTTGAGAATATATATATATATATATATATATATATATATATATATATATATATATATCACTTGAATAGTAGGAATAATTCCAAGGAGGATATGAATCCAAAGAGAGTTGAATGTAAGAAAAGAGCAATATAAGAATGAATACAGAATCCTTAAAATCCATTCGGTCAGGTGATAATTTATTTCGTTGACTTCAGGCATCCATCTCTTCAGACCAGTTTTACAAAAACTTCTCTGTCTTGTTTTTTTTTCTTTTCCTTGTGTCTGAATAAATTGAACTCCATGGATTGGATTTTCTGTATTCATTATATATATATATATTCTTCTATATGTCATGTCTTTTCCGATCATGGCTCTCCACAACTTCCTATCATTTGTAACACTGAGTTTTCTTTACCTCATCCGCCCCAGTTCCTGCTCTGCCAGCCGTTCCCATAAGTTAGTTTAGTAGGGTACTCACTAGTTTCCTCTCTGTCGCTTACCTTCAATATGCCTTGTGAATGTCAAAGCTTCAAGACTTCTTTTCTTATTATGTGGACAAAGATTCCAGGTGTCTCTTTCTGATTTTGCGTCTAAGCAACGATTTGCTTATATTCTCTCTAAAACTTCTTCCTTAATCGCATGTGCAGTCCACGGTATTGCCAACATCCTTCCGTAGTACCACGGCGTCAGTTTCTCATTCATTATGTCAGTTTTTCGTCAAGTCAGTTGATCGATCCTGGTCTTTAATAAAAAAAAAAATAATTGCCCATAGATAGCTTGAGGTGGAGTTCCATTCCGTAGATCGTTGTCAATTCCTCAGCGCTTTTGTGCTGGAAATCACCCGAGAACCATAAAGGAAGAAATGAAAAATATGACACTTCGCTGCGTGAAGAAAAGAACAATCGGAAAATAGATACAGCAAAAAAAGGCACTCCAACATTGGTTCTATTACCTCCAGATATCTCAGTCATTTCTTTTCTCTTCCGTCTTCTACCTCCAATCATCTCAGTCATTTCTTTTCTCTTCCGTCTTCTACCTCCAGATATCTCAGTTATTTCTTTTCTCTTCCGTCTTCTACCTCCAAATATCTCAGTCATTTCTTTTCTCTTCCGTCTTCTACCTCCAAATATCTCAGTCATTTCTTTTCTCTTCCGTCTTCTACCTCCAAATATCTCAGTCATTTCTTTTCTCTTCCGTCTTCTACCTCCAGATATCTCAGTCATTTCTTTTCTCTTCCGTCTTCTACCTCCAGATATCTCAGTCATTTCTTTTCTCTTCCGTCTTCTACCTCCAATATCTCAGTCATTCTTTTCTCTTCCGTCTTCTACCTCCAAATATCTCAGTCATTTCTTTTCTCTTCCGTCTTCTACCTCCAAATATCTCAGTTATTTCTTTTCTCTTCCGTCTTCTACCTCCAAATATCTCAGTCATTTCTTTTCTCTTCCGTCTTCTACCTCCAGATATCTCAGTTATTTCTTTTCTCTTCCGTCTTCTACCTCCAAATATCTCAGTCATTTCTTTTCTCTTCCGTCTTCTACCTCCAGATATCTCAGTCATTTCTTTTCTCTTCCGTCTTCTACCTCCAAATATCTCAGTCATTTCTATTCTCTTCCGTCTTCTACCTCCAGATATCTCAGTCATTTCTTTTCTCTTCCGTCTTCTACCTCCAAATATCCGTCATTTCTTTTCTCTTCCGTCTTCCGTTTTAGTTTTTAGTTTTCATTATCGTAGATAAATGGAAGTTGTTTCATTTATTATATATCTATTTTTTACTATAATTTCTTTACCTTATCTTTTGTAACAATTTCAACTTGTTTGATGATCGTCGTTGTGGTGCTTAATTAAATGATCACAAGGACTGATATTCTTCATATATTGCAGCCTGCAGCATGACAAAATATCGTTCAGAACTAAAAACAAAAATATTCTCAACAATTAACTACAAAATAATTCACAAAAATCAAATAATTTTGAAGGCCAATAGAAACAGAAAAAACATGGGAACGCCTTGCAGGTAAAATTTATACTCGGGCCTCTTTAAGCAAGAGCACATAAGATGCAATTATAATTGGATTCTAAACCATCATATTTTTATTTTTCTTCTTCACTTTCAGCATCCATTATTATTATTATTATTATTATTATTATTATTATTATTATTATTATTCTTTTACCTTTGCATTGTATAATAAGAGTTGCCCCCAAGACTCAAACAGTGCATTCAAGAGATATTTTTTTGTATCAGAAGATGTAAATAGTTGAGGTGCCATGTATTTACAGAAATAAGTAATACATTGAGAGAAATATACGCAAGATATGAAAAGTATTGAGGAATATGATTTTTGCAATTCAATTTTAGGGCTACATCATCCACATAAATAACGGCTCGTAACGAGAAATCTGAGAGTCGAGTTCAATTCAGTCAGGTTCATTAGATTCACTTACGCAAATACCCCTGGGAAGATATGAACCCGTTTTTCCGTCATTTTGTATTTTGGTAGCAGAACATACTGGGCCCTATAACCTTGTTTGACAATTCTACCACAAAAGCAGAGGAATCATACTAATGGAAATCTTAATCCTAGTTAATCAGAAATCGAAAGAGACATGATCATCCAAGTGTAGATCTCGTATGATACTTCACTGACTGACTTAGGAACAAAATGTAATATTTGCTTAATCACCTTAATCCCCCCTTACTAAAAGTGCTTATAAGTTCCTATTTTGATTGTTAAAACCCCATATACCTTAAACTTTCATCTTAAACACTTTGGAAACATTTCAGACCCTTTTAAAAACATTTTTGAAAAATAGTATTGGTCACCTTACACTTAGCGTAAATTTTCTTTCATGCGTACAGTAACCGTTTTCAATTAAGCATAGATCGATACAACCATTGAAAATACTGTATAAAATCCGTGTAACAAGACATAATTTATAAAGTTTAAAACATTTTGATGCAATGAATATGCTTACACCTGGTTTCCCCTCACAGTAATATGATGGGCTGGTGTCAGCCATAAATACAGACTGATGTGGAGGTACGTGGAGGTACATGGACGACGTCTATTGGCTACGCCTATTTTCTTCGAAGACAGAACTGTGTTGATGCCCCCAGACTTAGCATAAGCCACTTTTAAGACCCCATCCGCAGCCCCTAACAAAGAACAAATCCCAAGCACTACGCATGTTTTTACCTTTGATTTTTACAATGAAGATGTACCATTCTGCCAGTTTTAACCATGAAAATGGTCTGTTATATGTTTTAAGTCACTTAAATAACAGGAAAATAATACAAGACTATTTTAAATATGTTCTATCGAAAAAATACCCGAATCGAGAGAGTTCTCAGCAAATAATTTGTACATATGTTCTTCACAAAAACACGCGAATATTCAGGGTTTCCGCGAATAACAAGCATATATGTTCTAAAGAAAAATCCGCGAATGTGTGAAGCCGCAAATTCTGAAACGCGAATAGACCAGGGGGGGGTGTCACTGTATAGTAAATTCTTTACAGAGACATCGAAAAGCAAAAAGAGAGGAGAGAGTAGAAAATAGATTTGAATGTCTGATCTTTTTTTTTGCATAAGACACTAATCCAAGGTACCTTTAGTTGTCAATAACTGTGGAATGTCCAGGGATTCCGCACGTGAGATTAAAGAAGGAATAAAAGGATGGAGGCAAATGTTGAGAGAAGAACAGCCGAATGAGCTAATGGCTAATCGTAAATTTCAACACCAGAGGAATTTCCAGGGATTTAGCGAGTGCTCTAGGGGAAAAGAATGAAAATATACAGGCAAAGGTGGAAAGACAAAGAAACACGTGATAAATGGAGGATCGGTGTTATTAACATATGGAAATGTCGTGCCTCTACCTCGGAAAGAATTATCATTCATTCGTGTTCCTTTATGCATACAAAATATCAGCAATATATATATTTTGCCATATTCAATGTCAGTAACGGTAAAGAAGCACAAAGAAGCAGTTGGTTCAGGGTTTCATTTTGTTGATCAAAGACAATGGAAGTTAATTATTTTCCTTATTATCCACATAGCTGCTGCTGCTTCTTTTTTTTCTTTTAACCTATAATAGATTATATATTGCTTCAGTGTTTGCTTAAGTGCGATGCATTTTATCCCTGTGTGTATTCAATTAAGGTAGGTAAGCACTAGCGGTTTGCACCGTCACGTGTCAATAATAAGGGGAGCGTGGTGTGATAGATAGATAGATAGATAGATAGATAGATAGATAGATAGATAGATAGATAGATAGATATTAACAGAATTAGATAGATAGATAGATAGATAGATAGATAGATACAAATAATGATAGATAGATAAAAACAGACTGAGATAGATAGATAGATAGATAGATAGATAGATAGATAGATAGTTACAAATAATGATAGATAAAAACAGACTGAGATAGATAGATAGATAGATAGATAGATGATAGATAGATAGATAGATAGATACAGATAATGATAGATAAAAACAGACTGAGATAGATAGATATAGATAGATAGATAGATAGATAGATAGATGATATGAAGAAATAATGATAGATAAAAACAGACTGAGATAGATAGATAGATAGATAGATAGATAGATAGATAGAAATAATGATAGATAGATAAAAACAGACTGAGATAGATAGATAGATAGATAGATAGATAGATAGATAGATAGATAGATAGATACAAATAATGATAGATAAAAACAGACTGAGATAGATAGATAGATAGATAGATAGATAGATAGATAGATAGATAGATACAAATAATGATAGATAAAAACAGACTGAGATAGATAGATAGATAGATAGATAGATAGATAGATAGATAGATAGATAGATAGAAATAATGATAGATAAAAACAGACTGAGATAGATAGATAGATAGATAGATAGATAGATAGATAGAAATAATGATAGATAGATAAAAACAGACTGAGATAGATAGATAGATAGATAGATAGATAGATAGATATTAACAGAATTAGATAGATAGATAAAAACAGACTGAGAAAGATAGATAGATAGATAGATATTAACCGAATGAGATAGATAGATAGATAGATAGATAGATAGATAGATAGATATTAACAGAATTAGATAGATAGATAAAAACAGACTGAGATAGATAGATAGATAGATAGATAGATATTAACCGAATGAGATAGATAGATAGATAGATAGATAGATAGATAGATAGATAGATAGATAGATATTAACCGAATGAGATAGATAGATAGATAGATAGATAGATAGATAGATAGATAGATCGGAACAGTTATAGATATGAACAAAGATAGGAACAGAGATAGATATATAGATACATATAAATATACATACAAATAGTGATAGATAGATAAGAACAGACTGAGATAGATAGATAGATAGATAGATAGATAGATAGATAGATAGATAGATAGATAGATAGATACAAATAATGATAGATAGATAAAAACAGACTGAAATAGATAGATAGAAATAATGATAGAAATTTAAAAACAGACTTAGATAGATAGATAGATATTAACAGAATTAGATAGATAGATAAAAACAGACTGAGATAAATAGCTAGCTAGCTAGCTTGCTAGATAGATATTAACCGAATGAGATAGATAGATAGATAGATAGATAGATAGGAACAGTTATAGATATGAACAAAGATAGGAACAGAGATAGATATATAGATAAATAGATACATACATACATACAAATAATGATAGATAGATAAGAACAGACTGAGATAGATAGATAGATAGATAGATAGATAGATAGATAGATAGATAGATAGATAGATAATATAAAAGAAGAAAAGCTCAAAAGAGGGTGGGTAAAAAACATTAACATCGTTATGAGAGAATGCTTTCGACACGAAAAATCAAATAAATAAATAACTTGATGAGCTTTTATTTCTACCTCCACAGCCGTAGGTGGGGAAAAACGTAGCGGCAAAAATCGGATGAAGATGCACTCAGAATTATTCGTTTGTCCAACCACACGGCACTAATGCGCTGACTTGTGCTCCGCCACCTTCTTATATGCGATAGCTTTTATATTCTTTCTGTACGGGGCCGTTTTTCGGTTTATGGACCTGTATGGATACGTATCCAAGCATGTGATGCTGCCGAGAGGCGAGCAAGAGGTGAGGAAGATGAAGTCACTGCATGCCGCCATGAGTCCTCTTCATTTGTCTGAGTGTTTTAAATCTCGATTGTGACTTTTATTACGCGGGCGCTCCTTTCGATCTGGGTTAAGTTATGCTTACATGCGCAAGCTGACTGATTTTGTCAAGGTTTCCAAAGACCGTAACAGCTTCTTACTATTAGTGCCGTCTCTGTTTTTCCTCTCTAAGCAGAGCTTTATTAAAGCGATGAAAGGTTTTTCGGCTTCATGACCATAGGATACGAAGTTGAGTAAAGAAGACGTACTTGCAATGTAATACTATACTTAAGAAAAAGTGTAAAACCTAAATTGACTATGCGAACGTATTTGAACGAGAATCTACTAGAAAGATAGATCGAGTATGCCAGTGATAATGACCATGTCCTGTTAAAATAGCCCCCACTTTCAGCTAATTGGCACCCTGTGATTTTATTATGGGACTTATGTGAAAGAACAGGTGTATATCTCCCCTGTTCCTACAAGCCTAGAGTAACAGAGAATCTCTGAGGCGCTAGACAATGTTACACAAGACATGCTACAGCATGTTTAGCAGAAGCTGGACTACCAACTTGACGTGTGCCGTGTCACAGGTCGTACGCATAATGAGCCTTTGTGAAACTTTGTGAAATTGGTTATAAAATCTACATCCATTTGATTATCTAGTTTGAATTTTGTTAAATAAATCATGAAGCCTATTCAATTTCGTTTGCCCCTGACATGTAGTTACTCAAATATTTACATTTTAAATTATATCGATTTGTTGGGACACCTTGTATATTGCCTATTATTGCACATATTACAATCAGACTAAATTAGGCATCTCCTCTTAGTGTGAGAAGTTTTATTTTCCGGTGCGAATATGTATCTCTTATTCTTCGTAATAATCTGTTGTTTTCAAGTGTTGTTCACCCAATACTAAAACACACGCTCCACCCAATTTAGAGGTTTCGATGCCTCGTTGAAATATTACAATATAGATGGTAGCAAATAGAGAATATTTAAGAATTATGACCTCAAATGAGAAGATAACTATTTAAGTTAGCAAGAGATAAAGAAATTAACTGATTTTTGCCAGAGGGAATAAAAAAGTTGTCTTTTTTTCAATGTGGCTACAAAACCAACACCTCATGTTGTAATATGAATGCTTTTTATGAATTAATTTGTCTTTGCATGTAAATTGAATTTCGATTCAATTAAATTATTACGTGTGTATACCAGGAAATTTAATTGATTCTAAAACACAAATGAAATGCAAGATATATTACAATCATTGATTGTGCATATGACAAACACAAACGGTTCTGTATCAAATTTTAATTCACAATAGCCAAATCAAACGAAAACAAGGTCGGGCTGTACAACTCACCACACAATCAAGAACTTGCAAAAAATGTTTGATCATGTGTCAGATCTTGTCAAGTGGGTCGGACTGTATTTCAATACCCCAATACACACACACACACATTATATATATATATATCGACAGCACCCAAGGATTCCGTCTAGCACGAAGTCACAGGTCATTGTGGCCGAGGACTTGAGCGACTTTTCCAGAAACTTTAACGAAGGTCTGCTCAGAATAGTTGCAGTATAAACTTCCGTTTGGCTCTGTGGGTGTTGAATAAACACAAATGTGCCTGAGCAAGCATCTGCAATAGGGATTAGCTAGCCGCCCTAGTAGACGTGTGTCCTCGAATACAGTGGCCAGCTGTACATACATTATATATATATATATATATATATATATATATATATATATATATATATAATTATTATATTTTATTGAAATTATCTCGTCATCAAGCCATGTTCTGTAACTTTTCGATGAAAATGATTTACATTTGAAAATAGAAAACAATATGTTTTCTTATTAATGGAAGTGGGGATCCAGATTTTAAAATTTTATGGATAAGTCTCATTTAAGTAATCAAAAGAAATGTCAAAGGTAAATCAGAAAAAGTTAAAAAATATAGGTGAGATGTTGCAGTTATTCATACATATCTCTGAGATCTGTCATATTATGCCTCGACGTATAAGTATACATTTAAGGTAGGAAGAAATATTCTGCGAGATATGTATATCTCTAACAATAGGTTAATTTTTTAAAATTATTATTTCATATACAGGGTGACAAAAAAAACGAGAAGTTTTGAAGTGCGTATTGACAGACATGAGCAAGTGGCAACACTGCTAGACAGTGACCTTGAGCAAGTAAACATTTCGCCATTTAGAATTCAAGATGAAATTCACAGTATCCCAGCTGAGATGTTGCAGCAGTCAATGAGGAATCTCAACTGCAGATTTCAAGAATGCATTCGTACAGGAGGACGCCATCTACAGGACATAATTGAAAAAAAAATAAAAATTCCGTCATTGTTTCTTAAATGGCATGTTTTAAGGTTTCAATTACTATGAATAAAATATTTTTCTTCCATCACTCTTTGATTTATTGGATGGTTAAAAAGTTCCAATTTTGGGGGGTCACCCTATACTTGACATCTGTCTTACAGGTGTCTCTGGTATGATTAAATCTATTTATATAATTTTGAACCTAAAATACAATTCTTATTTCATTCAATAAGTCTTATACTCCATGGTAATTACAATTAAAAAGTCAAGGAATTAAATCAATATTACATGTACCATTATCATACTTATTATAAATCCCAGGTTGTGTCTGTGTGTGTGTGTCTGTTCGTTTATATATTGGATCAAATTTCCTACATTTTTCAACCGATTTCAACAAAACTTCACAGGACTACGTAAAATTACCTTGCGGTGGTTCTGACAGCGCAAACATTGGAAAAAACACAATTGTTTTTGCACGAAATCAATTGAAAACACGATTAGAGGCATCACTGTCACGAGAATGAAAGGGGACAACTCATATCGAGTTATACTTATTATAAAGCCCACGTTGTGTGTGTGTGTGTGTGTGTGTGTGTGTGTGTGTGTGTGTGTGTGTGTGTTCGTTTTATATATGGGATCGGATTTCCTACATTTTTCAACCGATTTCAACAAAACTTCACTTTTTTTGGCAGGTAGTGTTTCTTATTGTCTTGCACACTTTTTTCTTTATTTTTATAATCAGAATGCTTTAAAAATTCCATTTACAAGACAATTGTTTATAATAAAATTCTATTCAATCTGTAGACTCATAACGATTGAAAACAATGTTTTTGTTTGAGTTTTGTAAAAAAAAAATAAAAGAAAAAAACTAATTAAGACATACGTGTCCTTCAACCTTAAACAATAATCTTTGTCAATTTTATTTTTCAGTCTTATGATGGTCGATACTTGATCTATCTCTTACATCGCCGGGCAACGCCGGGCTCTACTGCTGGTATATAATAAAATAATGGATATATAATTGTAATACACAGATTTTTTATGAAAATTCATTAACTATATCTTAACGGGAACATTTTACAATATCTAGATAACTTCATTTCGCTGATTTAATAGATCATTAATTTTAGGAAATTTAATTATGTGTATCTTTTCATGAAGACACAGGGTGCATGGGTCATTTATGGACTTACAAATTCTCGTTTTTTTTTAAATATTTTTTCATTTTACTGCGGGGGTTTTATTGATTTCTTTTAAATACCAAAAGTATTAAGATAGGGATGAAATATGTTGGTACCATCTTAATTTTAAAGAGTTTTTGCCCTAGTTTCTTTTTTTATTATGATTTTTATAATTTTTTCAAGATTATCAGTACAACTATAACTTAATTTTAACGTATTTTTATTGAAAATCTTCCTTAGCGGATTATTACTCGGAAAATGTTTCTCCCTCAAAGCAAGAAACTTTTGCCCTAACTTACAGCTAACCATTAGGTTAAATTGGGGTGTATACAAAATAATTTTTTCTATTATTTTTGCTTATTTAATACCGGAGCATTTATATCCACTATTTTTAAAGCATTAGTATAAAAATTGCAGTGTTTATAAAATACATTTTCATTTACAGAGTTACTACTAATTCTATATTCTATGGATGACGGTACGTGTTTCATAATAGATGGGTGATGATTAGACTTTGGGTGGATATATAAAGGATTTGTATTTGTGTTTTTATATGGTTGACATATATTATTTACTAAGTCTAATGCTACATCAACGAGGTTTAATTTTTTACATTTGTATTAATAGCAGCTTTTAAGTTTAGGTTTTTAAACTCTCTATATAATGACTTTCTAATTTTATCAATTTTAAAATTTGTTGAATTCGTCACAACCATAAGGTCATCATCCCTATATAATCCTATATTTTCTGTACTGATATCATAATGGGCAGTAAGATTGTATAGAATAAATAAATAATCCAACGAGATCGAAAGACGCCAAAGAGTCCAACGATCCCATTGTAATATCAAAATTGTCTCTAGAGTTTATTTTTCATTCACTGTCCTTTGTTATGAATAAGAACTGAGTTTTTTTTTCATTCATAATGATGTTGCATTCCACCTTCGATAGTTCCGAGTACACTGTGGCAAAATGTCATAAGGCTAATATCCGGGTATAATTTTATAAAACTTCTTCCCTTTAAGATAAATACCTTCCACCTTCCACCTGACCACTGTCTCGTGCCTTTCATCTGACCAAAATATCGAAATTGATAAATTCTGTATTAGATTTTCGATGGATTTTTCGGCTTTCACTTTATAATGTTCCGTATATGTGATCAAAATTTGTCATTAAGTGCATTGACAAGGAAAGAGATTATTTGAAAAAAATAAATATGTTTAAAATGCGTTTTTCACCATTAGTCTATAAATTTATTGATTAACCTACTTGACACAAATGTTACCTTTAAAGAGACAATATAGTAATTTTTTTTTTCATTATTAGAAACAATAAATTTTAGTATGTACCGGAAAGTTGCCAAAAATTCCTCCAAGCTCTTGGCATAGAGATGCAATAAAATGGCCGTAATATCAAACTGTTACTACTACTAAAGGTTTTTCAGTAGCGACGTAATGCCTTCAGTCATGGTGCTTGAAAAGGGATTGTGTTAGAATAAGCCATTGGAAAGAATAAACACTTGTACTTGAATTTCTGGGATGAAATGGTTTTACGATTCTATATTGATTGTTTCGGGGAGCTATATTTATTGTCTTGCATCTATCAGTGTTAGGCCCGGAGAGATCAGCAGTCAAAACGTGCTAAAAAAAACAAAAGAAATAAAACGAAAGAACAATTTAATAAAGAAATCTTGATCCCAGGGAAAACGAAAGAGAGAGAGAGAGAAGTAGTTAAATTTGTACGATTCTGCACACGAACAATTGCAAAAATGTGCACCAGATGAGGCCATTTGCTTTTCAAATCAGCATTAGTTAAATAAAAACTGAAGGAAAGGATCTCCAAAGAAATGTTATCATGAAAACTAAACTAAATTGAAACTATCTCTTGTTTATTTAACCATGTTTAAATAAATCTAATGCAGAAAATACAGCAGTAATCGATATTATATAAAGATAAGCAATGTGTCAAGTCTCTGTTGAAGTATCGAATTTATTAATAATAGATTTTGAGTTGGGTTTTGTCTCAACAGCGCGAAATGACATCATGTTCACCAATGAAAATATTCTGATCACAATTCTGAAGCTCATATAAAAAACACTTGCTTTAAATCTTTAATTCACACTTCTCCCCACTCTCTTGAAAAGTAGTAGAGATGTATCCCTAGTTTCGTGTTTAGGATTTGGTTTATTAATATAAGCGAAGTACTTAGTGGAAAGTTCTCAATATTAGTGATAGGGCTAACATATTCAGTTCTATTGATATGAGTTTATGAGCCTTGGCGTCAAGAACCACTCCCAACTGTCCAATGTTGAAAGAACACCGCTACATACAATAAAGGCTATATTCTCAACACCGAAATAGAATTACAATTGCGTATCTACGCATAGGTATATATCTACACCTAATGTCGGATTGTTTATATGGGTGTGTTTGTGTGAACTATAATGCGTACACTTGTATGTATGTATGTATATGTATGAGAGTGTCATCCCAAATGAACACAGAAGACAATTCCTCCTCCCATCAATAAATATAATCAAACACAAGTAAGCATAAATAAATGCATTTAAAAAAAAATAAACCAGTTTATCTGATGATCGCAAAAACGTGAAACCCAGGGTCACAAACTTATATCCATACAACTGAATATATATATATATATATATATATATATATATATATATAAAAAATATATGGATATAGATCCGACAGTATGAAGAAAAATATATGGAAAAAACAAAAATCCGAATATGCAAGTATGCTGTTTTAATGTTATTTCAATGACGACGTCAGACGTTTCGGTCTAGTAGACCTTCTTCAGGACATAGTTATTAAGACATAATTAATATTAGACGATATTCAAGTCAACATGAAAAGACGATAGACATAAGAGTAAGAGTAATCAAAAGGCACGGTGAATAGTAGACCCGGCTTCTTTAATATTTCCCCTTTTCTAGCAAGATTGATGCTCGACAAACGTACTTATAAATTTTAGATTAAAATAAAATTCTTTTTTCATTTTTCATTTAAAATATACTCTATTTTAGGAATACGTTTTCACAACATCGCCCACGTGACGCCGACGTGATCATATTGTGAAACGGAACGCTGATCTTAAAAAAATTCAGTTATTCTGTTTTGATAGATAGATAGATAGATAGATAGATAGATAGATATACACACACACGTATATATACACACTCACAAACACACATATATATAAATATAAAAGGGAACCTTGAAGTCAACACTTAGAGGCAACAGACTTTCATGCTAGACGCGATCGTCAGGCTTGTTATATGTTATAAAATCACTACAAAAATAGCCATTTTGTTCCAACACCTCCAGTGTCTTATGAAGTGATGATGTTGAATGTAAAATAAATGGTTTTAAAAGTTTCAAATTAATAAACGATCCTTCGTAAGGGGAAAACGCTTTTACAAAAGCTAGAATGACCAATCAAAAAATAAGTATAGGAGAATTCAAAAAACTTGACAACGAAGTAAGGTTATAATAGCTATTAAGAGCATTAAAGTTGGGGTTATACTAAAATAGAATTCATTCTAACCAATAAGTATTAAATTATATGATAAAATTTGATATTAAGATTAAAAGTAAAACATTACCAATTTTAAAATCTAAATTTAATCTCTATTAAGTTTAAAATTATAAAATTATTGAGGAGAAAAGAAAAATATATATGTTATTCAATTTATTTCTTCATTGAAATTACGTTAGAATAGACGCTCATATCAGCTGGTCTTCCCGACAAAATGTATACATTTTAATCCCAAGTGTGTGAGTGGGGTGCTAACCTCTCGCGTAAAACAATACAAACACACTGAGATTATAATACATAAGCACCCAGACATATTCAGATATATACACACACAAAAAAGTGACGAGACAGGAAACATCTCCACGGCCCTTTATAAAAAAAAAAAGAAAAACCGAACACAAACATACATACACAATTAAATGTGCATGCATTTTCTATACACATAGACACCGATAAATACATGCACACACATCTACATACATTGACCTTGACAATCTGATACCACAACCAAGACATATTCAAGACTGAAAGTGTTATTAAACGAATGCTAACTGCTTATTAAAATATAACTTATACGGGCAAATATACATAGATAAAAATGATTAAAAATAACATTATCTAATATATAAAAAACGAAAATTGCAAACACACAAACATCTATAAAAATATATATTTTTATCATATAAGTCGATATATGCCTTATTATATATTAGGTGAAAGAAAATAAGATAATAGAGAACTACCTACAAATATAAGTGTACAGTCACATATATATACATATATACACATACACACAAATATATGTATACACATACCTACATAAGATATTAAGAACTACCTACAAATATAAGTGTACAGTCACACCTATATACATATATACACATATACACATAAATATATGTCTACACATACCTACATGTATATATACGCATATACATATGTATATATATTTTACATGCAAACAAGTATAAATACATCAATCCACACAGCGACGTAAAAAAAGTATATATATATATATATATATATATATATATATATATATATATATATATATATGTGTGTGTGTGTGTATCCCATAAGTTATGACAGAATTTTAATATTTTGTTAAAATGAACGAAATTTAAAAGTACTTTATAAAGTCTAATGGAGCTGAACATTATTTTTATGTTTAGATGCATTTAAACTGATCAAATTTTATTTCAGAGAACAATAAAATTAAATTTTGCTTGATTAAAGCCCTGCTAACATGGAAGTAAACAAAAATCATTTGAGGCACATAATGCATTATGAGTTCAAGAAAGGAAACTCAGAGGCCGAAGCGGCTAGAAACATTCACTCAGTTTATGGAGAGGAATGTGTGAATGAAAGAACTTGCAGAAGATGGCTTGCAAAATTCAGAGGTGGAGATTTCACCCTTGAAGATGAAGATCGAACCGGACGTCCAGTTGAGTTTGATAAAAAGGTTCTTGAAGCAGCCCTTGAAGCAAATCTTGCTTTATCTGTTGAGAAATTGGCAGTGGTACTCAGTTCAAACCACACAACTGTTCATCGTCATCTTCAACAACTTGCAAAAGTTCCTAAACTTGGAAAATGTGTACCTCATGAATTGTCTGAAAACAATCTCAAATCCCGAGTTGACATCTGCTCTTCTCTCCATTCTCGCCAACTTGTTTCACCTTTTTTGGATAGACTTGTGACTGGCGACGAAAAATGGATCTTTTATCGAAATGTTAAGCGTCGTAGACAGTGGCTTGGTAAAGGTGAAGGGCCCCAGCCACAGCCGAGAAGGGAACTTCATGGACAAAAGGTTCTTCTTTCAATCTGGTGGGATCGCCAAGGAATAATCCACTTAGAATTCTTACCACCTAATGCAACAATTAATGCTCAAATATACTGTCAGCAATTAGAGCGTTTGAACCAAGCTTTGAAGAAAAAAAAGACCTGCTCTAGTGAATCGAAAAGAGGTGATGTTTCATCAGGACAATGCGCGACCCTACACAGCAAGAATCACGTCACAGAAGATCGAAGAACTTGGGGGAAAATTCCTCATACACCTTATTTTCCTGATCTTGCACCTTCAGACTACCATTTGTTTCGTAGCTTACAGAATCATTTGGAAGAAACAGCTTTTGTAAAACAGGAAGAGGTTAAAACTGACATTTGTGAGTTCTTCGAATCAAAGCCAAAAGAATTTTATAGTAATGGAATTAGTAAGCTTGTTAATAGATGGAAGGAAGTCATAGATAATCAGGGAAAATACATTGTCTATTGAATCTGTAATTAAATGTAACATTCGGTCACTTGTTTTCTTTATTCAAAATTCGGACAGAACTTATGGGATGACCTGAGATATATATATATATATATATATATATTTGTGTGTGTGTGTGTGTGTGTGTGTGCGTGCGTGCGTACTTGTGTGTGAAAGGGGTTGTAAAAGAGTGAGAGGAATGTGTATATATTTAAGATAAGATGAGAAAAACAGTTATTTATGTTAGATTTACACACGATCATTCAAAGGACATTGTATCGGCTAGGAAATCACTAAAGATAAGTTTCAACATTAATAATTGCTCACAATATGAGTAACGGTAAATATATAAATAATTACCTTAAAAAAATTACCACAAAAAACAGCAAAACATCAATCTTTGAAGAAGATGATTTTTTTTTGAATATCAATATTTGACGTTCTGATTTTTAGTTAGGCTGTAATGGCGACATCTAACGTTATCACACAGGCCACAAATGTAGTGCAAGAAATGACGAAAATTATTATTTGTAAACAGTTTAATATTATTATGTAGTAGTTGGCACACAGATTTGCTGAGATCAGCCATTAGCTGATTACAGCAGTTTCCTCTTAGACGGCCAATGCATCCATTAAACCGTATACAATAGCATACCATATACATGTATCTATGTATATAAGCTTGACCAACGAAATTTCTCTTTTAATGACTTTTATTTTTTTCCGACCGTTTTCTTGAACGAGCGTACCTATTTAGATATTGAAAAAATACCAATGTTTGAAAACTTTCCGCTGTTCTCAGCATTTTTTAACTTTTTTTTCCCATGTAGATTTCTTCATACAGATATCACGTTTCCGCGTGTTCACGTGACTGTCTTGTTTTGTTTATATTATTAGAATAGACTTAGTATGCTGGATTTTCATATATAATTTTATTCATGATGGATTGTTTCATTTTATGCTTAACGTATCTCCTCTA